GGCCTATTTTTTATTTCTGTAGAGACAAGGTCTTCTTTTATTGTCCAGTCCAGAGTGATCCTCCCATCTTGGCCTCTCAGAGTGCTGGGATTACAGGCATGATCCATGGCATTTGGCTCTGAACCCTCTGTTTTCAAGGCCAGGTCTGGGCACACATCGTTTCCTCTGCTTGGAATGTCCTTCCATTGCCTCTACACAAGGCTTGAATCTACACAAGTTCAGATTTCACCCCCATTATCATGTCTTTCCTTGTACCCAGACTGTCTCATTCATCTTTTTGTAAAATCTTGCTGTACCATTTGCCTTCTATATTCATTTTTTTTTTTCAGACAGAGTCTCGCTCTGTCACCAGGCTGGAGTGCAGTGGCGTAATCTCGGCTCACTGCAACCTCCACCTCCTGGGTTCAAGCAATTCTCCTGTCTCAGCCTCCCGAGTAGCTGGAACTACAGGCGTGAGCCACCATGCCCAGGCAATTTTTGTATTTTTTAGTAGAGACGGGGTTTCACTGTGTTGGCCAGGATGGTCTTGATCTCTTGACCTCGCGATCCACCCGCCTCGGCCTCCCAAAGTCCTGGGATTACAGGCGTGAGCCACTGCGCCTGGCCTTCTAAACTCATTTTAAGGATGGGTCTATGAAACTGGATACCTATTCTAGATAATAAGCCGTTAAAGGCACGAATCTTTTTTCTTCTCCACTCTTGTCGCCCAGGCTGGAGTGCAGTGGTGCAATCTTGGCTCACCGCAACCTCCGCCTCCCGGGTTCAAGTGATTCTCCTTCCTCAGCATTCCGAGTAGCTGGGATTACAGTGAGTGCCAGCTAATTTTTGTATTTTTTTTAGTAGAGACAGGGTTTCACCATGTTGGCCAGGCTGGTCTCCAACTCCTGACCTCAGGTGATCCACCTGCCTTGGCCTCCCAAAGTGCTGGGATTACAGGCGTGAGCCACAGTGCCCACCCAGAGGCAAGAATCTTGCCCCAGTTAATGTTAACGCTGCCCACCTTGATGCTTTGCCTATGGTGGATGATCAGCAAGTATCTACTGACTCAATGCAGGATGTTTGCACTTGCTCTAAAAACTTGCTCTGGGGCCAGGACTGTAACACCAGAACTTTGAGAGGCTGAGGCTGGAGGATTGCTTGAGGCCAGGAGTTCAGGACCAGGCTGGGCAATACAGCAAGATCCCATCTCTACAAAAATAAAAATAAATTATGGCCAGGCGTGGTGGCTCACACCTGTAATCCCAATACTTTGGGAGGCTGAGGCGGACATATCACTTGAGGTTAGGAGTTTTAGACCAGCCTGACCAACATGGTGAAACCCCGTCTCTACTAAAAATACTAAAGAAGTTAGCCGGGTGTGGTGGCAGGAGCCTGTAATCCCAGTTACTTGGGAGGCTGAGGTTGCAGTGAGCCAAGATTGCACCACTACACTCCGGCCTGGGTGACAGAGCAAGACTCGGTCTCAAAAAGAAAAAAAATTATGCAGGCATGAGGACATGTGCCTGTAGTCTCAACCACTCAGCAGGCTGAGGCTAGAGGAAAGCTTGAGCCTAGAGCCCAAGAGTTAAGAGCTGCAGTGAGCTAGGATCGCACCACTACACTCCAGCCTGGTCAACACAGTGAGACCCTTCTCTCTGAAAAAAAGAAACTTGCCCTGGGTCCCCATGGCAATGGAGAATGACAGAACCATAGAAGTGATCTGATTAGATTGCTGGGCTCTTCTGATGGCTAGTAGCTCACCTGTTTGATGATATATGTAAGCTCTTCAATTTCCACCGCTTTATCATCAAAGAGGGACTTGCGCTTTGCCACTACAGAGACAAACAAGAAGCCGCAATGGGCAAGGTGAAAGACAAAGCTCAGGGAATGTAGTCCTCAGCCCTCTGTGATGTACTACTGCCCCACTTCTGAAAGACCCCAAGAACACTCACAGATTGTCAGCTTCTCCAGCTTGGCAAATGTGTTGCTAAGGTCTTTCCCAATGCGCCTGCAAACGACCACTAGTGAGACTGGGAAAGGGCAGGAGAAGGCCTTTTCCCATATAAGCTCCAGCACAACCAATCCCAGACTTCACAGCCAAGGCCACTGAAGGCAAGCCTACTTTTCTTCAGACATTGTATCACCCCACCAGAAAGCTTCTCTCAACTCACTTGGCCATGAGGGTGAATTCACTGCGCTGTCGGACAGCACGCAAAGCTGGCTTATTTGTCTGGATTCCATTCTGAAAAGCAATGGCAGGAGGTGACAACTTTAGATCCCCCTTCCCCAGTTCCAGTTTTCACTCTTCCTCAGGTGTCCACTAAACTATCTCTAGTACTGGTGGCATCCATCCAATGATCTAGATTTATCAGTGGTAGTGGTTTAGACTCCAGATTTGAAGACAAGTAAACCGGAGTTCAAATCTTGACTCGCTACTTACTAGCTAGGGGTTTTGGGAACGAGTTACTTAAAACATTCTGAATCTCTTATTTCCCCTTCTGTAAAATGAAGACAATCCACACCTCTCCGCTTCTTGTTGCTAAGATTAAATAACAAAAAAGCTGAAAAGTACTTTCATCAACTACCTGGTACATTGTAAGCACTAAATAAATGGTAGCTTGTATTGCCATTCTATTCCTCAAATCGGGAAGTCAGTGAGGATGACTGCAAAGCCCTTGGAGATCACATAGAAGAGCAGCTTTACCAACAGATGAATAGTTAAAAAAAAACTTTTTTTTAACTGTTCTGTTTTTGAGACAGGGTCTCACTCTGTCTCCCAGGCTGGAATATATGATCATAGCTCACTGTGGCCGTGACATCCTTGCCTCAAGCGATCCTCCCGCTCAGCCTCCCAAGTAGCTGGGACTACAGGATACACCACCACACCTAGCTAATTTTTAACTTTTTGTAGAGACAGGGTCTTGCTATATTGCCCAGGCTGGTCTCTAACTCCTAGCCTCAAGCAATCCTCTGGCCTAGCCTAGGCCTCCCAAAGTGCTGGAATTACAGGTATGAGCCACCGTAACCAACCCATTGATTTTGATACAAATTACTGATCTAGGCCAGGTGTGGTGCCCAGACCAACCTGGGCAACATCGTGAGACACTGGCTATATCAAAAAAATAAAAAAATTAGCTGTGTGGTACATCCATGTAGCCCCAGCTGCTCAGGAGGCCGAGAGGTAAGAGGATCCTTTGAGTACAGGAGTTCAAATCTGCAGTGAGCTATGATCACACCACTACACTCCAGCCTGTTGATAGAGCTGAAATTAGATCTCAAAACAAAACAGAAACAAAACAACAAATTACTGATATAGAAAAATGTCCTTCGTCTTACAGAGATTAAAAACTAAGAAAGACATAACTAGATTAACTAATTTTCTCATGGTCACAGAGCAAACTTATGGCAGAAGTATACTGGAAAATTCAAGGTGGATGTCTCTCAGCTAAAGGCTCTTCCTACAACTTGTTCCTTATTCACACCAATTATATTGCAGCCAAGTCTGGCCCTGAAGTACTCTCTCCAGAATAGCAATCCTGCACTCCAGGGGATTCCTCATTAAAAAATGTCTAAGTCCTTGCCTCTAATTAGCCAGCCGACCTCTTCTCTGTTACTTATAGCAGACCTTACTAGCCCCATCCAAGCCTATCAGTTCCATCAGGTTTCCCCAAGAATTACTTCAGTTAACAGTGCTGGAGCACAGTCCTTCCTAGATTTGAGTAAGAGTCACTCCTCACCTTTTCCACTGCAGGTCCTTACCTGACGGCTCTGCAGCGACTTGCAGGCAGACAGAAACTCCTGGGTCCGATCCCGGCAGGACATGGTGTCGGGAGGGGGAGGGACGAGGGCCACTGGGGGGGGCAGAGGGGCGATGTCGTTGCTGCTACTGCCAGCAGTTGCAGGGGACAGGACCTGTGTCTTTGAGAGACCCAGGTAGACACCCTGATCCGTGTTCTTAGACCCGTAGCGTTTCCGCGGGATCATTGAGACGCATAACCTCGGACTGTTGTGGAGGGGAGAGTGTCATTTCCCCAGGCAGCTTCTTTACCCAAACTCCCCAGCCCCGTCCCAATCAACAAATCCTCGAGCCCCTTCTGCACTTTTTAAAGACTTTCGCGCCCAAGGCGCTCGCAGATCCTGGAGCAGGCCCGCAGCGGAAAGGGCCCCGATTTTCCCCTGGCCCAAGTCGAACCCTCTTCAGACTCTTCTTTCAACTTGGCTCTGACGGCCAAAACGCGGGCCGAGGACCCTGAAGCAGGGAGAGGGCCCGAGCCAAGTCCTGTGGTCCTGAGACTCTGGCCTGGCCTGTGTAACTGCCCCTACCCAGCCCTTTTGTATCTGCGGTTTCCTTCGGCCAGGGAGAGCGGGTGACGGACCTCCAGAGAGGGACACACTTCGGTGGGCGGAGGGGCAAACCTCTGGGTGTTTATTTGAAACAGGAAGTCCCACCCCCCGCCCAAGGTCCGCCTTCTGGAAGACTTCAATCACTCATTAGCTAAGGCCGACGTCTCTCTCAACAGAGGCTTTCCTAATTGGACGGCAAGGAATTCGCTCACCGGGAGCCGGGCCGGCAGGACTTGCCCGCTCGCCCCTGGTTCCCTTCCCCCCGCCAGTCGTCGCCCCCGTAAAACCACTACCCCGGAGCTGACACGGTGTCCAGACACCCTCTGAAAGCGAATCTTACCTCCCCTCTGCCGCCTGCCGCCGCCACCACTGCCAATCTCCCCGGCCGTCACCGCCTCCTCCCTGGGCACCGAAGCCGCCGAAACCCGACCAAAGACTGGAAGCGGCCACGTCACCCACACGTAGCCCCACCCCCGGTGACGACGGGGCGGTCCCACACGTTTTCGAGCCCGGCTATCCGAGAGACACGCCCCTCACCAAACGCAAGAGCAACCCCACCATTCCATTGGCTAAGATACCACCATGACCCCGCCCCTGAAGACAACAGCCGGAGCCCAGGGGGCTGGGCCCGCCTCCGGGGAGGAGCCTTAAAGAGCCAGCCGCCCGGAGGTGTCCGCGCCCCGTCCCCAGAACGGTCTTGCAGGTCCACGTCAGAAATTTTATTCTCTGGAGGTACGGGTGGACTAAGAGCGGGTCTGGAGTCATCCCTTCTCCGGCTCCTCCTGGTTGCCTTCTCGGATCGGAGTCTCCTTCTTCCGAACCACGTCTGATTGCCTCTTGCTTGCCCGCGAGGAGCCCCGACGACTGAACAAGGATAGCCGCCGCCACAGCACAGTGATCAGAAGGCTTTCGTTCGACTTGTGATTCCGGTGGTCTGGGGCGTTCACGTGGATATTTTCGGCGCCTGAGGGGACGATGAGGCCTCTGAGCTCAGCCCTACCCTCAGGAAGCCCCCTCTCCCGCTCCCTGGGCCCTCTTCTTTTATCTGTGGCCTCACCTTCCCCGAGGTCCTCGGACTCTTCTTCCTGCTCATCAGACATCTGAAAGTCCTTGTCTTGGCAGCAGCCCATGGCCCCGCGTGGCCCCAGACTCCGTGCCACCCACACCAGCCTGCCTGGCTCCAGGCCCGGCTTTGTGACGTTAGGTATCCCGTCACCCCAGCTCAGGGAGCCCCCACCTCAAGCTACCCCTCATTCCTTTCTCCCATCACAAAAGGCTCAGGGTCATGGAGGGTGTTTAGCTGTTTATTTACAAACTGGGCACAGAGGGGTGTCAGGGGCTGGTGGACCCAGGCCGCTTCTTCTTTCTCCGCCTGGTTTGGAGAGCTCCTTGGGTCTGCTCCAAATCTGAGAGCTTCCGCTTGGCAGCTGCCTCCAAGGATGCCCAAAGTTCATCTGTCTCTGTGTCTTCTAGGGGCACGTTGTTGGGTTCTTGAGGTTCTTGGGGCTCATCCTGGTGAGTGGGAAGAAGCTTCACAGTCAGGGGGGCCGGGCACAGTGGCTCCCGCCTGTAATCTCAGCACTTTCGGAGGCCAAAGCAGGATTGTTTGAGCCCAGGACTTAGCGACCAGACTGGGTAACATAAGGAGACCTCGCCTCCACAAAAAGAAGTAAAAAACTTCTGGGTACCACCACCTTTATTCCCCACTCCCAGAAAGCAGCCCCATCCATATTCTTGGCAATAACCCTCTCAGGATTTTAACTGTTAATGCCTCTCAGAGAAATTAAGTGACCAGAGAGGTAAAGAGAGGGTCCCAGGTCTGCATTCCAGCTGCCTCCTTTTCCTCTCCATAGGGAGGTCCTCACATCTATGCCCTTGGCTCCCACATTCCTGACCCAACTGCTCACCTCCCAGTTGTCCCTGTCTGACAGGAGGAGGCAGTTCAATTGAGACTTGAGATAAACCTGCAAAAGATGAGAGGCCTTAAGGAGCCAGGCATGCTGAGACAGAAACATGAATGGGGGGCACAAGGAGGCTGGGCTTCCACAAGACCATGAGTTGGGGGTAGGAGGGATCACTTACCTTATGCTCCAGACCCCGTGGATTCTGGATCCTGTGTATCCTCAAGACTCTGTCCAAGCCACAGGAGGCCAGTAGAGGCTTGGAAGGGTGGCACTGCAACCCACGGACACTGCCTGCCAGCCCCTTCAGACAGCCCAGTAGACGCCCTGAAGAAGGGGCGGAAGCATCAGTGATAACTGGCTGGCCAATAACCAACCATTCATTATTTTCTGTTTCAATCACTTTCCATTTCAACACTTAATCTTCAACAAAACTCTGAGACTGGAGCGTCTACTAATAGTTCCATTTCGAAGGTGAGGAAACCAAGGTACAGGGAGTTGAAATAATTAGTTTAAGGTTGGGCCAGGTGCGGTGGCTCACACCTGTAATCCCAGCACTTTGGGAGGCAGAGGCAGGTGGATCACAAGGTCAGGAGTTCAAGACCAGACTGGCCAATGTGGTAAAACCCTGTCTCTACTAAAAAAATACAAAAAAACCTAGCTGGGCATGGTGGCTCATGCCTGTAATCCCAGCTACTTGGGAGGCTGAGGTAGGAGAATTGCTTGAACTGGGATCAGGGAGGTGGAGGTTGCAGTGAACTGCGATTGCACCACTGCACTCCAGCCTGGGCTACAAAGCAAGACGCCATCTCAAAAAAAAAGTTTTAGGTGGTACAGCTTTTGGGGAAATCAGGATTTGAACCCAGGCAATTTGGCACGGGCATGAGGCCTCACTGGCCCCACTGCACCACCTTAGAGGGAATCCTAACCCTTATCCCCGCTCCTTCCTTTCCCCAAACATACCCTAGTCCACTCACCTTGCCGAAGGTCAATTTCTGCCAGCTGCCCATGAGTGTTTCCCACAATCACTGAGCTGAGAATGAGATCAGAGGCAGGCGGGGTCAGCAGTAACCTCCTGGAGCCCTTCCCAAGCCCCACCCTCCCATGCCTTCCCCTCTAAACACTCACTTGCCTCCAGGAGTGAGGGTCATGGCTGTTAGTGGGTACTCTCCATAGGTGGTCTCTAGGACTGGCCGGCGCTGAGGGGAGGCTGGATCATAGACACGGACCTAGAGGAAGGCTGAAGCATCACAAAAGTATCCTCACCCTCCACCCACCCTCTGGCATCTCTGTATCCTCACCCCCTCCCTGCACACTGCTTTATTTATGACCCACTCTCAGAGAAACTTTCTCATCTTAGATGTATGCTTCTTCTTTGAGCATTGGGGTGTTGGAAGAGCTGCTTAGCAGCATGAATGGACAGAGCTGAGGAGAGGTTCCCCAGGTTGGAAGTGTGTGAGCATTCCACCCCCCATACTCCCATCTAGGGAAATGAAGGGATGGAAAACAAGTCAGTCCAGTAGGCAGTGGGTGCTAAATTTCAAGCAGAGGTCAGCCTGAATGAAGGAGGAGAGAGAATGACCTTATATGCGTTTTGAGCAGAGGCGTATGACCAAGATCAGACTACAATGTGGAAAAGCAAGGGAAACAGGACAAATACAGTGACCCAGCCCTGCCTATGTCTCAAGATCTCAAATGAGACAAGCCAGGAAGATTCCCCATTTGGGCACTTCATGTAAAGCTGAGGAGCTGAGGCCAGAGATGGAGGCTCAGGCCTGGGTCCCAAAGTAAATCAGAGGCTGCATCAGGACCAGAACCCAGTTCTCGTAACACCTAGCCCAATGTCCTCTGACACCTGCACCCTATAATTCCCACTGTGAAGGGGGTCCACTCTCCTCTCTTCCAGGTGAGAGGAAAAGAGGCATAGTTCAGGAAACTCTACCCTAGAATGCAATAAAGGTAGGTCACGGGCTCAGCAGCACGGCTGGAAAAGATAGGGAAGCGCTTGCTCCTCTGAGCTCAGGATGGTGAGAAAGACACCTATGCCAAACTGTGGGGGCCGTTTCTCCAAGAGGCTGCTTTATCCCAGGAGAAGGTAGGAGTGAGGTGACACCTTACCTGGTGGTACCCTGTACAGGTGACAAGCTTCTGTGATCCTGGAAGAAACTGTATGTCCTGGTCCCAGATGGGAACTCGCAGGTCCAGCCAGTCATTCCGCACCTGGTGGGGTAGGCAGATGGGGACAGGGCTGTGGGGGGCTCAGTGTGCCCCTCCTTTCCCCCTAAAGCCCGTCGAGTCTCAGACCCACAGTAGCCTCAGTCTCTCTCAACTTTAGGACCAGCTCCTCCACACTCTTGTCACTCACATTCTTGGCCCTGAACACAGGTTCCTCAGAGCCCTGCAGGTCCCACATCTTCAAGGCATTCTCTTTCCCACCTGTGGCAACCACATGGGGGTGTGCTGGGTCTTGGCGCATCCTACACACCCCAGGGCCCACTCTCACTTCCAGGAGCTGAAAAGAAGGGGAGATAAGAGTCCGTTCCAGAGTCCTTAATCCTCCCTTCCCCAACATGATCATCAGGCTCCTACCCCAGCCCCTCCCCCAACCATCAGGGCAGAGGAGTCTCACTGGGTCAGAGGATATGTCCTTGTCATTGTCATGCCAGACTCTGAGAATCCCAGAATCCACACATGTGATGACGGTGCTGCAGAGAAAGGGCAGAGTTGAGATGTTTTTTATGTGCTTAAACACCTTGTTTAATCTTTCTCCCCATCTCACTGCTATACTTGACTAATGTTTAAATTTAAAAAAAAGGCCGGGTGCGGTAACTCACGCCTGTAATCCCAGCGCTTTGGGAGGCCGAGGCGGGTGGATCACAAGGTCAAGAGATCGAGACCATCCTGGTCAACATGGTGAAACCCCGTCTCCACTAAACACACACACACACACACACACACACACACACAAAGATTAGCTGTGCATGGTGGTGTGTGCCTGTAATCCCAGCTACTCAGGAGGCTGAGGCAGGAGAATTGCCTTAACCCAGGAGGCAGAGGTTGTGGTGAGCCGAGATTGCGCCATTGCACTCTGGCCTGGGTAACAAGAGGGAAACTCTGTCTCAAAAAAAAAAAAATGTTCTCTAGGCCCCAAACTCTTATCAACCAGATTCCCTCCTAACAGCTCAGTTCAGAAGATAACCTCTAGGTTACTGGACTCTAGGCAGGGTTTGACAGCTTCCAACTTCCTAATTTGTTAATTCAACTTACTCAACAGGGTGAGGGTTTACCAAGTGAGGAATCAGAAGCTCTGAGAAACTAATTTGCCACTCAGCTAGGAATGTTACAAGAGCTGGAAATCAACTCTGTAATATTTCAGTGTGCTTTTGCTGTTCACAGATTTATCTAACACCTTGCCATGCTGGTCTATCTGAATCTTGAGTTGCTCGCTAGGGCTCAGGATCAGCAGTTCTTTTTTTAAATTTTTTTTATTTTATTGCATTTTAGGTTTTGGGGTACATGTGAAGAACATGCGAGATAGTTGCATAGGAACACACGTGGCAGTGTGATTTGCTGCCTTCCTCCCCTTCACTTGTATCTGGTATTTCTCCCCATGCTATCTCTCCCCAACTCCCCACCCCCCGCTGTCCCTCCCCTATTCCCCCCAACAGACCCCAGTGTGTAGTGCTCCCCTCCCTGTGTCCATGTGTTCTCATTGTTCATCACCCGCCTATGAGTGAGAACACGCGGTATTTCATTTTCTGTTCTTGTGTCAGTTTGCTGAGAATGATGTTCTCCAGGTTCATCCATGTCCCTACAAAGAACACGAACTCACCATTTTTGATTGCTGCATAATATTCCATGGTGTATATGTGCCACAGGATCAGCAGTTCTAAAAGGATTGACTGAAATGGAACTAGTCTGAATTCAGGGTTTGGTCAAAGCCAAACACCGGCTTCTTGTGTTCCTTGCTCTGAGTTTCAGGCACTAAATGTCAGTCTCTTGCCTAAAATATCCCACCCAAGATGTCCAAGCAAGTCTCTCCCCAGGAGCTGCACAGATGTTGGGCCTCTGTTCTTTCTCACACCTGCCAACCCTCCCCAACTGGGTTGAGGCTCTGTATTGGCTTCCCTGAGCTGTGGCAAAGTCTCCCAGTTGCTCTGTCTCAATCCATCCTCTATACTCCTACAGGCTTCCAGTGCTGACCACGGTACTTCCTGTTCAAAAACTAGTAACTCAGCCAGGCGTGGTGGTTCACGCCTATAATCCCAGCACTTTGGGAGGCCAAGGCAGATCACCTGAGGTCAGGAGTTCCAGACCAGC